CCTGTGCATTTTTTTGTACTAGTACTAATTAGGCATTTATCCATGAGTTATAAATAATGTTATTTGAAATATATTCCAAGGGGCCAGGGAGATAGCTCAGTGGCCTAAGCCTGAGTTCAGTCCCTGGTACTGCAAAGGCCACCCCCCCAAAACAAAACAAAGCAAAAAAACCCTATAAAACCAATATCTTCTGGCTGGGGATTTAGCTCAGTGGTATAGCAAGCATGAGTTCCTGAGTTCAATTCTTGTTATGAAAGAAAAAAAAAATGACATTCATGGTAAAACTGTTACTCAGTGTACCTTACAGAATGATTTGTTGCCTGATTCTAGAACCACAAATTAAATATATTCCAAGTCTATATGTTAATGTACTTATAGGGCCAGCCAAATAGCTCAGCGAACTAAAGCGCCTGCTTAGGCAGAGCACAGCAGCCGGGTTCGATCCCCAGTGTGCTATGCTGGCCCTGCCCCCGGGCTGCGTTGAGATGACAATTGAGACTGGGCTTGGTGGCACGCCTGCATCCCAGTATTGAGAGGCTAAAAACAGGAGGATCACTACAAGTCTGATCCATGTAGTGAGACCCTGTAGACCCTGTGCTAAATACATAAAAAGAAAAAAACAAAGAAAGAAAAACAAGTATATAGTGTTTTCAGAATACATGTGTAGTATTTCACTAGATTGAATACAGAAGCAGATAGGAGGATTTATCTTCTGTTTTATTAGATTTGGAAAGATAGAAGAACAAGTCATTCTAAGTTTTCTAAATTTTCTTTCTTTTGGAAAGTTTTATTTTCTATAAAAATGTTTATGATAAATTTATTGTTTTAAATTGGATGTATTTGAAACACTTGCATTTTCCCTTCATCACATATCAATGGTTACAATCATATAAGCAAACATTTTTGTGAGTATAAAGCTTGGAGGCCAAAGAGTCTGAGGACACCAGCTAGAAGGGTCTGTGCCTTAGCACAGAGAGACCAGGCTGGCAGGGTGCAAAGCTCCAACTCCGTCTCATTTTGCATTTGTGCCCTGCAGTGGCTCCCCTGGTTCAGTCTCATTAGCTGTGTAGGAGTTTTGGGGTCTCCACATTCAAGGTAATGTTGGATATTATCAGATTTTAACACACTGCCAAAGGAGTGGATGGGGAGGATGTTACATGGAGTCTCACTGAATTAAATTTGATTTTCTGTTCATACTGGATTGAGGCTTTTTTTTTTCCATGTTCATTGATCATATTTGTAGTTCATCTTTTATGAAACACATTTCTTGTTTTTTGCCATTTTTTATTGTCTGTCTGGTCTAGTTATTAAACTTTTATTGGTTATACATATTGAAAAAGTCTTCTCTCAATTACGGGTTTATCTTTTCATTTCTTTAAATAACATTGTTTTCTCGCTCCCTCCCCCTTTTTTGTGTTTATGGTAGCTTTGGTTGAACAGAATTTCTTTCTTTATTTATTTTTTTGAACAGAATTTCTTAATATAGTCTAACATGGATCAAGTACTTTTTGCTTACAATTTTGTGCCATTAGGAATTTGTCTCTATATTAAAAAGATAATCTCATTTTCTTGTTAGCATTTCAGTCTTCTGCTTCACACTTAAAAGCTTCAGTTCATCTATGATTTGTTTTTGCCTATTTTATGAATTAGGGATTCTCATTTCATTTCTAATAATGCTTCATGTATTGACCCGTCCCTTCCTTTATTTATTTATTCGTATGTATTTGGTACAGGGTCTCACTGTGCAGTTCGGACTTTTAGTGATCCTCCTGTTTCAGCTTCCCAGGCCCTGGGATTACAGGCGTGTGCTCCAACTCTGGGTCTTGATGGCTGGCTTGACTTTCCTGGGGTGGGGCCGACATGGCATGTGGTACCAGGGATTGAACCCAGGTCCTTGCACGTCCCTATGCAGGTGCTTAGACCGCTGAGCTATCTTTGTGCCCCCCCCACCTCCATTTTGTTGTTACTGTTTTTTTTTAAAATTTTTTATTTATTTGTGTGTGTGTGTGTGTGTGTGTGTGTGTATGTGTGGCCAGCTCAGCCCACCAGGGGGCGGGGCTGGCTGGCATGTGGTGCTGGGGGATTGAACCGCGGTCCCTGTGCTTTGCTAAGCTTGTTCTAAGTAGGTGCTTTAGACCACTGAGCCATCTCACCAGCCCATGTTGTTACTGTTTTGATATAGGGTCTGGCTGTGTTGCCCAGGTTAGTGTTGAATTCCTTGGTTCAAGCAGTCTTACACTTCAACTTACTCAGTAGTTAAGACTGTAGGCCTGATCCTGGGAGACCAAAGCTTACCCCGTTGGTTTCTAAATGTCAGATATCCATGAATAAGTAAATGTAGTCAAAATCTCTGTTCTTTTATCTTTTTATCAACACATTTTTCCTTATATAACTTTTTAATGGTCTTAAAATATGGTATGATAAATAACTTTGATCCTTTATCCCTTATGCAGTTGCTTAACTATTTGAAGAGGAGGATGGATCAAAAGTGGTATATTCAGGGGCTGGTGAGATGGCTCAGTGGTCTAAAGCACCTACTTAGAACAAGCTTAGCAAAGCACAGGGACCACACAGTTCAATCCCCCAGCACCACATGCCAACCAGCCCCGCCCCCTGGTGGGCTGAGCTGGCCACACACACACACACACACACACACACACGCACACATAAATAAATAAATTTTTTTTTAAAGGTGGTATATTCATACAAAGAAATACTACTCAGCAGTGACAGTAGATGAGCTTTGATACTCTGAACACCAAGAATGAACATCACATTTGCATGCAGTTCAAAAACAGGCAAAACTAAACTATCATGCTAGCAATTTGAGGTCATTGTCTGTGGGATAATGGGACTTGGAGGTAGAGCATAGAAGTTTTCCAAGATGGTGAAACGCTTTTATATTTCTGTTGAATTGTTGCATACAAGGCTGTATGCGTTTGTCAAAACTCACTGAACTGTGCCTTTCGTTGTATGTCAGTTTCATCTCAGTTGAAGAAAGAATAATTAGAAGCATGAGTGCTGTTGAAATCTTTTTCACAGTTGAGAAATGCCATTGTGTTCCACTCTGATTATGTTATAAAATCTTTCATCACTGTTGTTGGACACTAATATCTGGGCTACATTTTCATAATTGTGGGTCATAAATGAGATTGTGTTTTGCTACTTCAAAAATAAAAGCCAAATTCAAGTCAATTTGTATAATACTTTAAAATTATTATATTTCCAACCAGTACTGTATTTTGATTTAGGAGTTTACAAATTCAGTAAATATCACTTATATTTATCCACATAATTTTAGGTGTCAGGAAATATTCCCTGTTACAATAATTCCTTAGTAGTGTTTACTTGTTTGTTAAGCCTATTGGTGTTACTGCTGTCTGTCTTTCTTTGTACCTTAACAGCCTGGAGTTTTTTAGCTACTGAAGTACAATGAAACAGACAAGGAAAGGACCTGCACACACAAGGAGCTTATAGTCTAGCGCGTGTGTAGCGGGGGCAGAGAGGAACCGTTAAACCCTGATACCTTTAGCCAGCTGATCATCCTGGAGATCATGAAGCGGGTGGTATGATTGGGAGGAACTAGAGGGGCTGCTGTCTGTGGGGTGTCTAAGCAAGGCTTCCCAAGAATGGGGCCTTCAGGTTGGGGCTGGAATGGCAGGAGCCTCTACGTTCTGTGAAGATACAGGGAAAAGAACATGAGTATTTTCTGTGACCATGCTTTCGTGACTAGGCTTTTACCACGTGCCTTGTTTTCTCACTTGATCTCCATTTCAAAGCCTTGTATTTTTTCTAAGTTACCCTTTTATGGAAAGTTTCCTTGTGACTTGATGGCTATGTGGCAGTGTGAACGCAGTAGCCTGGGGATGTACTCTGGACGATTCAGTTCTAGCAACAGAAGTCTGGGCTCCATAAGTCTACCCTTTATGGCTGTATCTGACCACGTAGCTTTAGAAGGAACAGGTTAGTGTATGGAGCAGCAGAACTTGAATTTATGTAGGTTTTTTTTTGTTGTCGTTCTGTTTTTTAATGTATTTGGTTGTTACAGGGTCTCACTACGCAGCTCAGACTCATAGTGATCCTCCTGTTTTCTACCTCCCCAGAGCTGGGATGACAGGTGTGTGCCACCACACCCGGGAGTCAGCCTGCCCTCGGGGCAGAGTTGGTGCCACTTGTGGTGGCGGGATCGAGCTGTGATGCCTGTGCTTAGCTAAGTTTGCCTAAGCAGGTGTGATAGTACATTGAGCTATCTCGCTGGCCTCCAATTTGTGTAGTTTTGACCGTGCCCTTTGCCTGAGTAGAACGTATTTAAAATGCAGAAAGTTTGTGGGCATCTTTCACTTGACACTGACGGCGTCCCCTCCATGAGTGGTTTTCTATATAAGGTGCGCTGCTTTGGGACTTCCCTAGTGGAAACTGTATTTTTCTCCTAAGAGGCCATTGTTGATGAAGTCCTCATGAATTAAAAAGTAGAGGCTCATATTAACTCATAAGCAAAAGTAAGTGCTTTTCTCCTTCTGTCTTCACATATTATTCTGTTTTCAAGTTTAGTGTATAAGTAAAAGAAAATGTGAACTTTTTAGTGATCATTAAAGTCAGCACATTCTAACAACTAACAGAGCTTTAATATTTCACCTCTCCTGTGCTCCATTTAGTCATGATCCATGTGAGTAGGTGGACTGTACACTTGATCTGTGTTCCTCAGGTGATGTAACAGGAAAGGGAGGATTTCTAGTGTGGTGGTGCATGCCCATAATCCCAGTACTGTGAGAGGCTGAGGCAGAAAGATTGCAGGTTCAAGTTCAGCCTGGGCAACTCAGCAAGACCCTGTCTCAAAATTAAATACATAAATAAGTAAATAAAGTTCTGGGGAGTTGAGTGTGGAGCCCAGGGTTCAGTCCTCAGTACCATTTAAAAAAAGAGAGGAGAAAACTGGTCTCTCCAAAGGCCTGCATGTCATATAGTTCCCTTCATGTCTAATAAGAGGTACATGAAGGTACATGGTTTATAATCATTGTCTTCGTGGGACTAATAAACACATGACACTTGGACAGTACTTTCCAGATGTCATTCCATCTCGGAATGCTGTTCCCGCGCAGAAGCCAAAACTGTCCTTAGGTACCTTGTATTTGGAATAGAGACCAAGAGCTATAGGACAGTACCAAGTATTTATAAACGTGACCCAGGTGCATCATCTGTTAACAAAAATACAGACAACAAGTGTTATTTTTCTAAACCAGTAATTGAACCTGTTTAAAGTGTGCAAATTGTGCACATTAGGTTAATCTGAAAATTATTTCAATTTTGTTGTTTATTTGCTTGTTTGCTGTTGATCTTTTCAAAAAGTCAACTCATCCTTGCTTCAGGGTTGAGCGTTCATTCATTTCAATTTTTGAAGCATAGGCATAGGAGAAATTAATTTATTGTGAGTTAAGTATTTACTCTGTCAAAAATAATTAGCTTACATGGTTTCAATTTATAGTTTCTAGAATATGTTATTTAGGCAGTGAACAGATTCAGAAAATATTCATTGCTAGAAAAAGCAACTCCTGGGAGGACAGGGATGCTAAATATTCAGCTGAACCTAAGGGAGCTGTGTGTCCTTCACCTTCCAGCGTGTGAACGAACACTTCTCACAAAAGGCTCATTGAACTAATCTGGCTCCATTAGAGAAATAGGGTGTTTTGGTTTTTTTTTTTTTAATAGCTCTTTGTATTTGTTTTCACATTTGTGTGTGTGTGTGTGTGTGTGTGTGTGTGTGTGTGTGTGTGTTTACAAACACGGGTCTTGACTCAGGCGTTTTTCTGTAAACTGGAGTTTCTGTTTCATCAATATGTGCTGAGATTCCAGCTGTATGTGCGCCGCTGCTACCCTGGCTTCCTTTCCGAAGACTAGACTCTAGCTTCCTGCTCCCACTGACCACTTTCATTTTTTGAACCCTCTTAGGCCTTTTGAACCAACTCTCAGTCTTCAACTGAAATTGTCTCTCACCTAAATTTTCTAAATTGTGTAGCTGCTTACAGGATGTTGTAAGCCCTTGAAGCCACTGCATTAAGAAGGGCAGCTGAACTTGGTTGAGCCCTGTGGGGCAGGGCAGCAGCTTGGTTAGCAAGGTCAGTGTCAACATCCACCTTTAGTGTGGCTAGAAAATAAGTGGGGACAAGGAGCCTTGCTTTGTGTGTACTTTTCAGGCTTTATAGGTTAACTCTGTGGAATGAACTCAGCGCCTCTTGTCTGCCAGGTACCACATTTGGTCTTGGGCAAAAAGAGGTGAAAAGAGTTCCTGTTGGCACCGTGGAGAGCTCGCAGTCAGGTTTGGAGGCCTGTTTTCACTGCCAGGAATACGTCTTCAGTTTACCTAAAATCATGGGGGCATTTTTATAAGAATGTTCCGGGATTAAGGAGTACCTGAATCATTTACACTTCTGGGCTCCTGGGAGCACAGGAACTAAAACCAACCTCATGGAATATAGTTTGACAGCTGAAGGGATTGCTGGTTATACAAGCGTGGAGATGCTTGTAATTGAACACAGGACTCTCATTGTTTCACTAAAATGGCATCAGGGGGAAAGGCGAACCTGTGTAACTATTTCTGTACTTTTCCTTGGGGGTTCCCTCAGACATAGATTATATCCTCATGAAAATATAAGTTTAATGTATTAAGTCAGGCAGGCGACATGCTTCCTGTTTTCCTTCCTTTTATATTTCCTGGTCTCTTTAGGGGTTCCTGTGTCTGTATACATGCACACACATACAACACACACACACACACACACACACACACACACACACACACACACACACAGAATATCGCATTGAGTAAAAATCTAATGGTGGAAATCAAAATTCAGAGAAAACATAATTGCCTTGTTCAGATGCCACAAGTGGCTCGCAGCAAACACAGAAAGAAGCAAAGACAATTCCTCTGATTTACATTGTAGTTGTGTTGGGAAAATTTGATTATGTTAAAACTGCATAATATGATCTTGTATATGTATACAGCAATTAGGATCTAGGCTCAGAGAGCTGCAAATGGACTTTGTGCCACAGAGGGGGATATCTGAAAGTCATGCAGGACAAGAGGGTACAGGACAGGTCTTTCTTATATAGGGCTATTCTGGAGTTTGCTTGCCAAATGTCAAGGGTGACCTCTGTTAGTGTGACAGTCGAAATTATCCTCATACAGTTAGAAAACTCAGTCTAGAGGGCGGGTTGTGTGTTAATGATAGATCACTAGTGCAGCCTGTGAGAAGCCCTGGCATCTCTCCATTCCCAGAAAAGGGAGGAGGAAAGGAACCGCAGGAGGGTGAGGGAGGGAGGAAAGACATTAGGGAAATCCTCTGCCTTAAGAATCTCAAAAAGATGCAGAAACCCAAGGACCTGGAAGAATAGTGGCTTCCTAACTGGTCAAGCCCAGAGTTTATTGCCTAGTGGTTTCATCTTTTGGAGGGTGGAGTGTAGGGAGTGAGTTCTCTATTTTTGCCCCAAGGCTGAGATAGATTTCCAACCTTCACCTTGCCCTTATCTGCGCGCTCTCTGCATTCTGCATTCCTGTGGTTGAATGTTTGCACTTTGTCTCTAGTGTCTGTCCTTGTAGCTTGACAGGGAGGCTCTTTGTAGGTTGAGTTCTAGAATAATTGCAAAAGGGAGTCTAAAAGTTTCCAAGAAAACCAGTAGATATTTTTGAGTATATGGTATAACGTTTGTGTGGTTTACCTGCTGGATGTTTTTAATGTAGGTACATGCATTTTGACTGTGCATATACATGACTACATTATTTTGGCATATAAATAAAAATTTTATCTCTTGATCAATTTGAAGGGTATAATTTTGCTACAGACTATACTATTTCAGTAATTATATTAGTGAATTATTTTGCAGAGTTCATTTTTGGATGACAGTGAAGATCAGTGTGAAAGAAAACATTTGCCTCCTATTGTGTGATTTCCAGAATCAGCATTTTCACTCTGTGCTCTCTCCGAAGCAGGGTTTTAAGGCTAGGTATGGGATCCCGAGGTTCAGAGTCTCCAGCCTTGGCACGGAGTGGCTGTGTGAGCTGAAGCAAATTCACTTACCTACACCTTACTGTAAAACTTCCTCATCAGTAATGTACAGGGCCTGGTATTTATGGTGCAGTTACAAGGATTAATGGAAAGCATCTGACAGTTCTAGTCCTTGTTTGTATGCTTGTAAGTTCTTCACGCGGTTTAACATGGTGCTGATAAAAATTTTATTTTTGCTTGGTGTAAGCATTTTTAATGTAAATAACTTTGATAATCACTATTTTTAAAGTATTAAAGTATTCAAAAGTGTTATAGTAGATACATGAGATTCTGCTACCAAAATCTACAGTGTAGTACATGCTGTTCTTTCTTATATAATATGAGCCATAAATTTACCTACTTGCAGACAATAAAATTTAAAAAAGTAAATCTTCTTCTGCTTCTTGGGATAACTGTGTCAGCAGACCCAGAAAGCAGAGCTGGATTGAGTCAGGGTGTGGGCAGGCAGGTGGCAGGTTTGCCAGCTCAGTGATGCATGCCCCTGCCCAGACTCGCAGCTTTTAGAGTACAGCGGTGCATGTCATGGACACGGTTTGCATGGATACTGTCAAAACCACAAATATTCAAGGATATACGTACTGTCCTTCACTTAAGAAGGAAGTCACTATACATGAACAGTTTTAGTTTTGCTTCCTAACTTTTTCATTTTAAAAATGCTGCCAAACTGGGCAGGGGAGATGGCTCAGTAGAATAAGCACAAGGGCCTGAGTTCAATCCCTGGTTCCTCAAAAAAAAAAAAAGAAAGAAAGAAAAGAAAAAGAAAAGATCAGATCTGCTGATAGATTGCTTTTTTCTTCTCTAGTAGCGCCTTCTGAGGATAAACCTTTAAAAGTATAATTACTCATTTAAAGAGCACAAAACTCTTAGAGCACTTGGTGTTATTGAAAACTTGTTTTCTTTTTTTTTTTTATAAAGGTATTTTATATTTATTTATTTTTATT